GACTTATTTTTCACGAACTTGAAGCTTGCCTGAGCCCTCAGGTGCGGCCCTGTGCCTGGAGAGCACACTTGCTGCCTCCTGGCCTCTCCTCGGGATTGAGTCTGAGGAACACAGGCCGATGGCCGGTGACGCAGGCTCCAGGGAGGACTGTCATTGCCCGTGTTACTCCGTCCTCTGACCGTCATGGCTGTAGCACCCATTCAGCATCTCTCTGCTCACCAGAAAATACATCTTGGCAAAACAAAAGAAAAGTCTGGAATCTTTTCCGTATCTGTATTTTTTTGGCGAATGGTTTCTGACATTTCCCTCCATTGTCTAAGTCTGGAAATTTTCTCTAAACGGAGGAATTCTTTTTTCTTAGTGAACCCCTTCAAGTCTATTAAGCATCAAGCAACTTCTTACTCATTACATGAAGAGTTAAATCTCAATGAGGAGGCAGCTCTTTTGGAGTTAGAGACACGTATGTTGTTGCACATACTTTTCTGCTCAAAAGCATAGGAAAATGCAGTCGATGAATAATTTTAACCTTAAGATATATATATGTACATATATATATAACTATATATATTTATATATAGTTAAAAATGGTAGGCTGACAAACTAGGGCCTGCAGGCTGCGTAATTTTTACATATTTTAAAGGGTTGTAACAAAAAAGGAAAATGCATCACAAACCATATGGCGCACAAGGCCTGAAAGTATTTACTGTCTGGCCCTTTATAGAAGTTTTTTTTGTTGTTGTGAGGAAGATTAGCCCTGAGCTAACATCTGTTGCCAATTCTCCTCTTTTTTACTGAGGAAGACTGGCCCTGGGCTAATATCCGTGCCCATCTTCCTCTACTTTATATGGGACGCTGCCACATCATGGCTTGAGGAGCGGTGCATCGGTGTGTGCCAGGGATTGGAACCTGCGAACCCTGGACCACCGAAGCAGAGCGCGCAAACTAACCACTATGCCACCGGGCCGGCCCCCATAGAAAATGTTTTTTGACCCCAGAACCATGTGGAAAGTACCAATCATAGAGCTCACTTATTTTTTACTTTCACCAAGAAGTACATTGTCTTCTTGGTTTGAGAAGCCAGAGCTGGTGCACTGAATTAGGAATATGCAGATTATGACCTGCTGACTGAGCGGCACGAGCCACCCAGATGGGGTAGACAGGGGGCTCCCTCAGCACCTGAGCTCCTGCTTTGGGGAAGTGAAACCCACCGGTTGTTTTGGTTGAAGGAAGCAGAGTCACAAGATTTATTACCTACGGATCCCAGAACAGGGGGCGCAATGAGCAGGGGAAGGGCAGTCCCTGGTTCCAGGTCACGGTCCAGCAGGAGACAGAGAGCAGGGAGCAAGCACCTGTTACTTAGAAGGTGGTTGGGTGGAGGTCACTGGCTTTTCTTGGGCTCAACTCTAAGTGGTTATTTTAAAAGGTGCCCCGGAAAGGCAAAGCAGGAACACACAGTGGGAATCCTAAATCAGGGCCTTATCTCAACGTGCAGACTCTGGGTGTGAGCAGGTTGTCATATTGTAAAATGCCGGGGCAGCAACTCAGAAAAACAAAAGTTGCTTTTCTCATCACACTTCTTTCCTTGGAGGTATTAAGTTCCACTGGTAAAATCAGTCTTCAGGGCCATTGTAAAAAGAGGAGACACCTCCTCTAGCGACTAGCCGAGATGCGCGGCCGCTCTCTGACACAGCTGCTCTGGGAGGGGAGCTGCGCCCCCTGGCCCTTGTTTGTGCCCTCTGCGGCTCTCTCTCCCCCGGGCCGCTCCCCAGCCTCATCACCGCCCACCACTTCGACGCACGCCTTCTTTGACCTTGGCCTCTTGGCCAGGGGTGATTCCATTCCCATGGCCCTTGTGAATCTGCTTTGCTACTCTGCTCTCCTTCTCACCTGATTTCACCCTCCAAGGCCCCTCCTCTGGGACCCCTTTTTCTACCTTCTCGCCCAGAATCAGCCTGTTGAGGCAGATGCCTTCCAAATCCGATGTTTCTACCCTACCCTTGACTTGCTCCGGTCCAGGACCAGTTTTCTTGCTCATTTCAACACGGGTCCAGTTCTGCTCCCTGCAACAGGCTGTAGCAGAGAGAGGACTTCTGGAGTCTGCCCTCCCCAGACCAACAGAACCATTTGGTGAGCAGTACGGCTGCCCTGTCTGGGCCCTGCTCACACACTCTTTCTTGTGTGCACTCACTGTCCACATCACTTGGTGTATTTTGCTTCCTGTGGACCTGCTGGCCGCTTGCCTTCCCTGTGCCTGCCGCAGATTTCCATGTCTGCCACTTGGACCGGGCCACTCCAGTGGTTCCTGATGCCCTGGGATCCGGCACACATATCTAACCAGAGCTATCACTCAGACTTCTGGTACATTCCTTTCTTCATTCCAGTCCAGCTTGCTGAATCCCTCCGTGTCCTACCCATGAGGGTCCCTCTACTCAACACACATTCATCGAATGCCGACTCCATTTCAGGTACAGTCGTCCCTCGGTATCTGAGGGAATTGGTTCCAGGGCCTCCGAGAATACCAAAAGCCCCGGATGCTCCAGTCCCTTATGTGAAATGGTATAGTATTTGCATCCAACCTACACACATCCTCTCGTATACTTTAAATCATCTCTAGATGACTTGTAATACCCCATACAATGAAAATGCTATGTAAATAGTTGTTATACTGTACTGTTTAGGGTATAATGATGAGAAAAAAGTCTGTACATGTTCAGTACAGACACAACCATCGTAGGCCTTTCGATCCGCGGTTGGTTGAATCCGGGGATGCAGAACCCCTGGATACAGAGGGCCCACTGTATCTCTGCTCGGCTCTGGGCATCAGGGACGACTGAGACGCAGCCTGGTTCCAGTATTTGTTGACAGAGGAAAGAAGATATGCACAGACATGAATGTAGAGCAAAGCAAGGGGTGGTGACTAACAAAGTTACTAAATATTATGAGAGCACAGAGGAAAATATTTAGAACTAAACTCTATTAACAAAGAAAATTCCAAACTACCTAATGAGAATATTTCTAAACCTAACAAGTTAACCACTTACAGAATATTTGATTCTGTTTCTAACCTTCCTTTAAATATATGGTTTAAGGGCCAAACTTCCGGTACATTTTTCTGAGTGGTTTACTTCTTCTCTGACTCACTCTCTCCTTTACTGGTACGTTATCTTGCCTCCAGCCATGTCTGTAGGCATGAAAGTTCTGTAAATAAATGCAGTCTTTTGATTACAGTGCAAAAGACAACATCCTTCTTTGTAAACACTCCTGCTCCTTATTAGAAACTGAATTGAGTTCTCGTTCTGTTCCCCATGTGTGTGGAATGGTAGTAGGCATGCATTTGGTCCAGGTTGACTCACAGCTTTATGTACTGGGACAGGCCTCAAGAGGCTGTCACTCAACTGCAAGAGATGCCTTTCAAATAACTTTGCATCTGGGCATCTTTTGTCTTTCATCTCCCTTGCCCTTCTCATTCCTTGTACAGGTCCTTTCTCCCAAGCCCCTTTTCAGGATTATATCATTATATCAAATACAAATTGGGAAAACCTAGCCAGGAGGTGCTTGTTTGATGGAGACACCCACAAGAACACTGACCTGCCACCAGGAACTACAGGAGGTGGGTGTGCTCACCAGCCTGTCCTGTGTGACTCCCACTATGTGTGCCGCCCACTCATTTATCCATTCACGACATATTCTCTGAGAACTTTCTCTGTGCCACAAACACCATGCTAGGTTCCAGGGACACAAGACTGAGCCAACAGGAAAACTGCTGCTGCCCTCATTTGGGGGAGGTAGCATCAATTACAAGTTTACATTAATAAATGTGCGATCATAAATTAATATCCTAGTTCTGAGAGAGAGAGGAAGAGATAATTTGGTGTTCAACGCTGGACAGCTCTGTGACCTCTGGTCTGTGTGTCTGTCTGTCTGTCCGTCTGTCTCTCTCTCTTCCCTCTTTGTTAGGTGGGGGTGGGAAAGACGGCCCAGAGCACTGAGCCCTGTCATTGCTCTAGTGCTGTATACCCACACTCTTTCCTCTAATTGTGAATTCTCCATCTCCGCAAAGTAGACGTTATTATCTCCAAGGAAGACAACACTGTTACTATCCAGACTGTCATTGGGAGGCTGAATCAACGAAGGCTTGCATTATGGGAGTTTGGGGGCAGAAACATGCCCAGGTCCTAATCTGAAACCACCAGATTCAGTGGCTGCTAACCCGCCCAGTCAGGGACTCTGGCTTTACATTTTTTACCGCAGCGAGAGAAAAATCTCCCTTTTCTTGCAAAAGTCAGGAATGGATCTCAAAATTTGAAATGTGTCCTCCCCGAAGCATGCCCACCCACACGGTTGACAAGCCATGGATTTCCCAAGATAGCTGCCACAACTTGGTTTCTAATCTTCATATTTCTTCCCCGCCAGAATTTCTATATCCTTCCCGAATATTCCCAGACATACTTTCTGAACTTCTTAGCAAACATCTTCTAGCCTCATCTGCTTTCCGCAAGGCCCCCAGGCCCAGGCGGGGGGCAGGGGCCTGGCGGGGCGCCGGGGACTCCTGCGCAGGAGGTCCGTCTCCTGCGACGCGCAAACGTGCTTCCCAGCCCTGGTTCCACCCGCTGCCGGCGAGCTGAATGAGGAGCACTGCTATTTTTACCTCCCCGGCTGCAATTCTTTATATTTATTTGCAGGAAGGAAATAAATACAGGATTAAGAAGGAAACGCTTGGCTTTAGTTTTTCCCGAGAAGGAGGGTGTTGGAATAAGAGGGGGTATGTGAGGTCCAAGGTGGTAGAAAGTGCAGGTCCGTTTCTCTGCTGCTGTTTCCTCCAGATCATCCTTGTCTCTGGCCTGGAAGCCCCGCACTACGCTTTCTTCTCTCTGGCTAACCCTTGACTGCCAGCTCCCCCTCCCCCGCCCCCACCTCTGGAGCTGCCACCGTCACCTCTGACGCTGCCTGGGATGCTGCATCACGCTGCTGCCTTTTTTTTTTTTTTTTTCCTCTTCACAATGAAGCATGCGCAGTGCGTCCGTGCCGGGCGACAGCATCAGCACCAGCACCAGCACCAGCACCGGCATCAGCGTCAGGACCCGAAGCCGCGCTCGGGCGCGCTCTCGAGGGCGGGGCGCACGCCCGCGCTGCGCGCACCCGCGCGCCGCCTCAGCATCCTCGGCCCCAGCAGCAGCCCCCGCAGTCGCTGGAGCGGCCGCGCCCGCCGCAGGGAGGGAGGAGCATCTGGGGAGGCTCCAAGTTGGCGGAGCGGCTGGGACCCCTTGACTCTTCCTTGGCCGCCTGGGGAGGGGCTGAGAGGCGAGCAGGGGAGGGGGCGCCGCCCAGCCCCGAGCCCTGACCCCCTGCCG